ATTCATTTTGTCCCCAAAAAAGTCGATTCCCCCTCCCCCCCATTCTTAGAGACAGGGAATCTCTAAGAATCCCCCCTCTCCCACACACACACACGTGTGCGCGCGTTGTTCAATCAGACAGCCATTTGTAATCCATGGGGGGGGGGGCAGAAAATGTTTGGAAACCACTGGGGGGGGCGCAGAAGAAAAAGTTTGGGAACTACTGCTTTGGAACATTAGATTAGTTTTCTTTCCTATTTATTCTTTTCTTTGGTTTATTTTGTTTGTATTTCCTTTTAACTCATGTAAAGCACTTTGAATTGCCTTGTTGCTGAAAATGTGCTATATAAATAAAATTACCTTACCTTACCATGCATTTATTGTCATTCTTTCCTTAGCTTTTATTAGTGTTGAAGCAAAGTGATTAAGCACCCCCGCCTCCTCAATATTTGTATCTCAATAGCAAGGACTCATTAAAGACAGTTACTTCTGGCTGGTGTCTGCTGTTTGGTAAAATCGTACTTGAACAGTCTGTACATGTTTTGCACTTTTTGAAGTCCAGAGGACTCCACAGTGCTTCACATTCCACCTTACCGTCTCTTTACCTTGTAAATGTTTTCTTCTGTATTAAATATGTGTAAAATGGTTTCTGTAATTGTTAGTCGACAACTTAACTAGCAGAATGACTAGCTATTTTGTTATGTTTCAAACCAAAGAGAACCAGTTGCATTTGTATTTATGCTTATATGGTACTTTAAAACTCAGCTGGTGTTGAAATTTTGAAGAACCCAGATCAGCCTCAGAAATTTCACTTGGCAGACAGCTTTGAGATTAGTGTTGCCTTGACGACTGAGGGTAAAGTCACGAGGGGTTAAAAAAGGCTGATTAAATTTTCTACTATTTGCATGCCATGAGTAAGAGTGGGATTTAGAAGGAATGCCTGTGTCTTGCTGATTAGCTTTTAAATTGCAGTTCACAGCTTGGCATTCATATTTTTACAAGACAACAGATTCTCTCAGTGGCTCCTTTCCACATTTTACTGGGAGTGGAGACACATTCTGTCAGAATGAACATTTTAGGAACATCACATCAAGGTATCATTTCATTTTCAAATGATCCAATCAGTGATTGTTATCTCAATCTGATTGTAGTTTAGTTTCTGAAGCATTTTTGATCACTTCAAGTTATTAGTTGTTGGGGTTTGTTTTTCAGTAGTCTGTTTTAGAGTTAGTTACTCTGAAGAGATGCTAACTCTTGTGAATATTGACTTGTTGGTTACTGGCTTTGTGAATTTAAAACTGACATTTTACTCAGAAGTTTTGTCACTCCCATTACCTCTACAACTGGAAGTAGCTGTTTGTCTTTACAGCTACTTCCAGCAGTCACTTTAGAAGTAAAAATACTTCTTTCTTTCCTTCTTTATATCCTTTTTTTCTTCCTACTTTCTTTTCCTTCTTTCTGCCCACCCGGCAATTAATGTGTGGACTTCTCTAATTTGCGAACATCAAATGCAGTTGGAACGTAATTTCCCTTTGTTTCAGATGTTTCTCTATGGGGCTAGTCTCCTGTTTTTAAAAAAATAATCTCTGAGAACTGCTGCTTAAATGTTAAGCAATTTAAAATCTTTTAATTTATCTATACTGAAACCTTTAAATCAAATTTAACAGCACTGTCAATCTCAATAAACAAACGTTAAAATTCTAGATCTGGGGTCTTTGTTAAAATGTTAACATTTATGGGCCCCAATTCAGTGCGCTTAGTTGCTTAGTTTATTTTTACTTTGCGTCAGCTCTAAATGTGACCAGCATTACATCATGCATCATGTTTTAAGACCCACTGGCTGATTACTTGACAATGCTTATATGTTTAAGCATTGTCAACAATGTCTTTCAGTAACAATGTTTTACATTTCCTGTTAACGTGACATTTTTTAGTACAAAAAATATCATCTGTTGGTTTTAGATAACTCACACACGTGCTTGTTAGTGGCGTGTGTGCAGAAAATGCTTCTGCATCATCACTCTCCCATATCACTTCTCCTCGTGCAAAATGCACTGAATTGTTGAACTATGGAAATTGACCTCATCTGCAGCAAGATTATGTTACAGGTCCTTGGAGCCGGTCTGTGTGATGTCTTTGACTGTTCTCATCATCCTTCTTCACTGTCTTTCTGATATTTGCTTGGCTTGCCACTTCTGGGCTTAACAACAACGCATCTGTGATCTTCAATATCCTTACACTGTTCTTCACAGTGAAAACTGACAGCTGAAATTGTCGAGATAACTTTTTATATAATTCCCCGAAATTGTGTAGTTGAACAATTTTTCTTTTCAAGTAATTTGAGAGTTTTTTAGCCCCCCATGTTGTCAAGTTGTCAGAGAACTCAAGCAGAGGCTGTTGCCATGATTATTCAAACAGGTAGTGGGAGCTTACTCGGTATTAAAACTAATTTGCATATTATGCCCCTAAATGCATATAAACATGCATATAAATATGCATTTAGGGGCTGATAAATATCACACGAGGCTGCATCTAGTTTACCACAAATCCTGATTGTGTCACTGCACACGTCTACAAATCTACTACAAAACTTCATCATGACAGCTGTACACTCTTTTATATATGAGATCCCAGATGTGCTGTCTGAGACCTGGCCACACATACTCTATGCTGTGATTGCAGCCAAAAACGTAAATTTATTTTATACTAACTTGAATGTAGTGAATATTTATTCAGTCACTAATTTTATGTTACATAGTTTTGTCATTATTTAGTATAAATGAGTTTTCACTTTGACATTAGATGTTTTTCTTGTAATTTCTTTTTTTTTAATGAAGCAATTTGTTTTATTTGCTTTTCTGCAAAGAAGCTTTACTGTGTATTAGAAAAAATATATATAGTTAAGTATATAGTTATGAGAATCTCTCTCATTTTTTGTGGTAATTTCTGTCAGAATGATTGATTTGTTAAAGCGTTAAATAGGGTGAAACATCACCGAGTCAAACATTAAGATATGTTTCACAATCTTAATGTGTTTTTTTTTAATCAGATGAGGTGTTCAGAGATCTATACACGTCATGTCCTATGGGGTTTGCATTGAGCATCAGGTTTTTTGTGTCTGTACAAAGCTTCACTCCATTCCTGTGTAATAATTCATTATTCCCTTGAATTAGTCATGGTACCGTGGTGCCATCTTCACATTTAACAATATTTTCCTTGTGTTAATCAACAGCTGCATGCTAACACTGTGAGAAATACACAACATGATAGACGACCAGTCCGCACCACGGCTGTTTTTTGTTCTTTCTTTCCAATCATAAGTGGTTATTGCTACATTCTCGTCCAGGAGGTGTGAGTTTGCAGTGGGACTGTAGGCATTCAGGGGGACACAGCAGATATTTTCCTTCCTGTATAGGAGTAGAAGTTTTATAGGATTGATACTGTTATGAAAGCAATGTTGATGATCAGTGTCAGTTTTATTTACTTTGCAGCAGTTGACAGGAGGTTATATATTAATTTGTAGTGATTTGGAAGTTTTCACTTAGATTCTGTTGAGTCTAAAGGCAAGGCTTTCCTTTCAGGGAAAATTAACCCTAATGGTCGGTATTTGACGGTTTATGACTTAATAAGTGAAGGTTATTTATAATGCGCTTTTCGAAGACATAAAATCGCAAGTCGCTGTACTACAAAACATTACAATAAACACAATAAAATCATAACATAAAATCCTGTGAAAGTAAAACCGCTTTCAGTTGACTTTTCAAAAATGTTCATATAGTCAACAAAACAAAGCTGCAGTGTTAGAGCCACTGACTGAAAGGCTCTGTCCCCTTTAGTTTTCAGCCACGTACATGAAACAACCAAGAGATTCATGTGTCTGGAAATGAAGGCCACAAGCAGCAGAGTATTTAGTTGGAAGCTGGAAGCCAGTTTTGGCCAGATCATCGGAGCTGTCATTTGCACTGATGACGTAACATGGTGGTGGTGTCATATTTTAAGAATCAAGATGCTTGGTGAGAAGTTGTCAAGTTGCTTAGCATTCCATCTATAGGAATGTGAAGAAAAGTCTGGTTAAGAGCTTTCTAACCTTCATAGTTTGTAGAACATTTGTATATTCATGATATGATATTTGATCGTAAAAATACCCCATAATTAGACTACAACTTCAAATGTGCTAAAAACACCTTCAAATCAGCTTGTAACCAAACATGAACTATCCTGGTGGTGCTCTTGACTGCAATTATACCACCATGATCACTTGTGGAAATGAGAATCCTGCACATTTGGAGGCAATCCTTGTGAGAGACACAAAATAAGACACATTAGTACTCCGAGAGAGCAATCGCTTAGGATGGAGAATGGCTTAGACAGAGGAATTGGTGCATAGAGGGTGGCAGAGTTAAAGGGGTTGGGTGTGGAAGAGGTAATAGGAGGGAGGCTAAGAGTGACAGGAAGAGGATAGCTGTTAGAATGAGTGGAGAGCTGTGCTGTAGGTAGAGCCACTAGACGAGATAAAGAAGAAATCATTCAGTCAATCAGCCCAGGCCCTGGTGCAATCATCAGATCTCATCTGTTTTCAAGAGCAATTCTACCCTTTATTGAGCTGTTGTGTCTAAAACAGGAGAGACTGTAGTGGGGAACATTAACCCATGCATTGCCACCTCCATGTTCACTGGAGCTAGAAATGAGAAATGATAATGAAGAATAGTCAGTCTTATTATCTTGGTTTAGCTCCTGTGTGATCAGTCGTAATTTTCTTTTGGCTGTTGACACTTAATGATGCTGAGGTTATTCCTGTTGCATGAAGGTCATGTTAAACAGAGTGCCATTTTGCTGATATATCCAAGCATATAATACAATACTGAAAAACGTGTTTCAGGCTTTGCTGTGTTTTTCTGGCTAATGTTGTAGTCTCTTTTGAACCTTTATTTAAAGTCATACAGCATTAAGTCAAGTGTAGGTACAGCTTTTTATAACTTACTATACATTCCACAAATGTCTTTCTGTTTCACAGATGTCAGCCGAAAGGTCAGTGGTGAAATGACGAAGCCTGCCTACGGTTGCCAGGTGATCATTCAGTCAGAGAAGGAGAAACAAATGATGAAAATCTACCGGCGAGAAGAAAAGAAAGAGAAAAAGAGAGCCAAAGGAAATGATGATGGTGACTTCTCAGAGGCTGTCTTGGCCTTTGACCCAAAAGAGATGAGAGCTCAGCGGTATATCACTTCCAAACTTTCTCTCTCCCTTTTGTGTTGTCTTTGTCTTAAATCCGTCCATCTCTGCTTTCGCTCCAAGGAGTCGGCAAAAAATAAGACATTATGTATTTTTCATGGCACAACTTCAGCTTCACAAAAATCCAACTAAGAAAATAAAACAGTCAAAAAGCAACATGACCGTGACTGCAGCTTATCACATGTCCTTTCCTGTGGAAGATCATCTTGAAAGTTTAATTTCAGTGGATGACAAAAAGGAGCAGTGATCTCTTTAATTACTTAGCCTGGTTAAATTCTGTGCAGTGTGAAGGAAGATTAGTGGAGAGGTAAGCCTCAGATTCCTCTCACATGTGTCTTTATATTATTCATCAAATATTGACTGGAGTATTTATTTTTGAATAATGGATGAGGTGGAAGGGTTATATTCAGAAACATAAAGCCATTTTAGTATTTTTTGTATCTGTTGAATTAAATATTTTAAAGAGGTTATGTATAATACTTGTGAGCTATCAGTATTTTGCAAAAAACTTAATTGAGAACTTTCAGACCCCCAAAGCTAATTTTTACTCAGAATGGGTGTAAACATTTCCACTAGGATGAGGAGTGATTAAAGTGGAATAGGTACTCATTGCTGCAAAGTCTCTGGTTCTGTGGTGCATGCTATTTCTGCACAAGTACTGTAAAACAAAATTCTATACCAGACACATTTTGTATATGTTTCATACAAATGGAACAGAAATAATAAATTGTTAGTGAATCTGGCACTGGAAGCAGGGCAACTTAGGAGGAAAATACTTCAGTTGTTTCCAGATCTAAGCCATCTCTTTCTACCCTCAGACTCTAGAAAAAGAAGGCAATATAATTCCCTAATCAAGAACCAAAATATCACAATTTTGCCAGCAGAGAAGGGAAGATGCACAATACATATGACCATCACAAGAAAGTCACACAGATGATACTGCTATGTTCAAACACATTTGTACACATCTGTAGCATCCTGACACTTATGTTAGGATGCCATTCGTTGACTTCAGTTCAGAGTTTTACACCATCATTAAAGAGACGCTGACAGTGAAGCTCCACAATCTGGGACTTTCAACATCAATGTGCCTTTGGATCAGGGACTTTCTCTTTAACCGGCCTCAGGTGGTGAGAATAGGGGACCAAACATCATCCATTCTGGTCCTCAATACAGGCACACTGCAGGGCTGTGTGTTTAGTCCGGTTCTTTTTACACTGTTCACTTACAACTGTGTCGCCATCCATTCTTCTAACAGGGTTCTAAAGTTTGCAGATCATTCCACCATAGCGGGCATCATAATAAACAGCAATGAGACCCTGTACAGAGAGGAGATCTAGAACCTGTCCCAGTGGTGTTCAGTGAACAACCAAATGCTCAACACCACCAAGACCAAGGAGGTCATAGTAGACAGTGCACAGATGGATGCGTTGTCCCGGAGGACAGTGCACCCTCCTATTAGAATACAAAAGGAGGTAGTGGAGTGCTTAGACAACATCAAATTCCTGGGCATCCACATAAAGTGCCAACTTTGCATGATTATGTAAATAATGACAATTTAATGCAATGTTGGCACTTTTAAAGGACTTTCAATGCAACCATTAAAGCAACTTTGCATTAAAAGTGTCATTATTTACCGAATGACACTTCATGACAACTCTTATAGACATTCATAAAGACTCGTTCATGTTCATGACAGGTGTTATGTCATGTTTATGACAGTGTCATGTCAGTCTTATTCACACCCCGTCAAATAAAGTGTTACCCAGCTTTTTCCCAAAAACTGTGAAATCTATCTGTCCACCTTACATTCTCTCTGCCACCTGCAGACACACCCACACCCTTATGCTGTACCCTATGGACTGAATGAAACTTTATTTACTCATTTATCACCAAGGGTAGTACTCCAATTTCATTATGTTCTAGAAACATAATGACAAATAAAAAATGTCTTATGCCAAGTATCATCAGTCTTAAGTTTTTAGTAGTTCTTTTTGTTGTCCTGTTCCAATGTTTAGTGTAAAATTATAACTTTTCACCCCATCTTTCTCTTACAGAGAGCATGCCCTGCTGAATGCACGTTATGAACCTCTCCTAACCAGGGAAAGAGTTTATGAAAGAATCCGTTATCCAAATGTATATGACAGCTATGCTGAAGCAACAAAAGCACCTGCATTTGTTGGAGGAGCCAGGGTGAGTTTTTTGGTTTTCAAAAAATTTGAACTATTTATTTGTTTCCGTTAACCTTTGAGGGTTAGTTTGAATTTTTTGAAAATGGTTTCTGTGAAGTTATTAATATTAGTTCCTTTATCTCAAGTAATTCATATAACTATTAACTTTTTAAAAAATTAATATATCCTAAAAAAAGGCGAATACTAATAAGCTAGTCAGACATTTAGAGAATTTTTATGTGACTATAGCAGTTTAAACAACCCAAAATAAAAATTTTCACAATGCGTTGTTACTTGCACTACTAGAGTGTTAGGGCATTCCACAAAGGGCCCACTCTGTTTTTGTTTAAAAAATGTTAGATCAGTAAGACTAGGAAATTACACTCACCGGCCACTTTATTAGGTACACTTTGCAAAAATGGGTTGGACCCCCTTTTGCCTTCAGAACTGCCTTAATCCTTCGTGGCATGGATCCAACAAGGTACTGGAAATATTTCTCAGAGAGTCTGGTCCATATCGACATGATGGCGTCAGGAAGTTGGCTGCACATCCATGATGCAAATCTCCCGTTCCACCACATCCCAAAGGTTCTCTACTGGCTTGAGATCTGGTGTCTGTGGAGGCCATTTGAGTTCAGTGACTCATTGTCGTGTTCAAGAAACCAGTCTGAGATGACTCACGCTTTATGACATGGCATGTTATCCTGCTTAAAGTAGCCATCAGGAGATAAGTACACTGTGGTCATAAAGACATGGTCAGCAACAATATTCAGGTATAGGGCTGAAACGATTTGAGTACCTCAATTACTAAAATTCTTCAAGGAAAATTTATCTGCCTCGAAGCATTTAAATTTTATTTTATTTTATTTAGCCAGCCGGGTTATTATTTTTGTTGTACAGCGCTCACACATCCGCCTGAGTCGTTGATGAAAGCTAAGTGTTATCAGCATAACGTCCAATTTACTGGGAGGATTTTTTTAAACCATCAGACAAGGCTTCTGCATGTTGATGTGCCCACTAGTTCATATGGCACAATTTTAAATTTTTTGCCTCGCTTTTTCCCCTTACGACAATATTCAAACGTTCTGAGTTCTAAGATTGTCGCTTGGAATAATCATAATCGATCATCCTGCCTGTGTGGTGTGTTATGTAGAACGTCCAGACCGCTCCGATCTAACATCGGACATATTCAACATATTGGTTTGTCTTGGCTTGACTATTGCAGCGTGTGGGGTTTTCCCTGACTGGGAGTGAGAATGCAGCCTGTTGAATGTGACAGGTAGTCAATCAGAAAGCGCGTTGACGTAAGCATGGAGGGGAATCCCAAACAGCTGACATCACGCAACCAAGAGTCCGGTGGACATCGGAAATGATATGTGGAAACAGCATGAATGTTTATTTAGCATTTCGTACAACGAATATCAACAGAAATGATACAGAGAGGAACTGGAGCGAAACTGGTACCGCTGTTGATAAACCGGGTAACTTTTCCGCTATCATTAACCTGACATAATATAGTTATAACGATAAGGCTGTTAATTCAGTCAGGGCTTAACTCTGACACTAGCTTGCTTAAAATGAGTCCACAAACTATCAGTATTGCTTCTACATCATCATCCGTGTTTGTTTACTTTAAATTCACGTATGGTATGTTGAGGTTTTATGGGATTTTCTTCTGGAATCGGGATGTTCGTGAGTGAAATCGGTTCACACTCGAACATCACGAGTGTGTGGTGTGTGGCTCCTGCCATGTGGCTGGATACAAGGCAGTAGCAATACACCACACACAAATCAATCGAACCTGTTGTACTTTTATCAGCTCGTGTGTGGTGACAGAGGTTTGGAAAATCAGCCGACAATTCTTAAATCGTGTCGTGTGAACCAGACTTAAGACTCGAGCTGTACTCTTTCGTCTCTTTTCGACCACTGCCCTCACGCTCTCTGATTCTGGTCGCAATGGTAACGTTTAAACATTCTTTCAAAATAAGATGCAGATGCGCCACAAAAACGAACATTTTACTGTGATGAAAATTTTAACAAATGATAATGACAAATTAATAGGAGCCCCGAGCTTGTTTCTCTGCAACGAGACGGTGCCATCTGGGAGTGATGGGAGACAATGACTCCCGAAGTGTGTTGCTTAAGCACAGGGTGCTTGGTCTCTACGTGGTGAAGCAGTTTGAAGGCTTTATTGCCTCATTATCCAGCCGGTCGTCGCATATCATGCAGAGCGGGCTTGGAATGTGGGAGTCACCTACCGGGATAAATCCCTTCTGCTGTCTCTTCGCTGGGCCTTTCCCTCTTGGTAAAGAAACTTTCCAAAGACATCTGATCTGTTTCTTACTCATCTTACTGCTTGTGGACTCAATGTTGGCATAACCAAGAGAATCCGGTTAAAGGATTTTCAAAATAGAAAATCCTCCAGACTTGGATAATACATAAAGCGGAAATATTTAATTATTTCTTGTGCGGCCGGTACCAATTCGTCTACGGACTGGTACCGGTCCACAGCCCGGGGATTGGGGACCGACTTAAATTACCTTTCTTCCCCAGTTTGATGCTTGGTTTGAACTGCAGCAGATTGTCTTGGCCATCTGCTGAATGCATTGAGTTGCTGCCACGTGATTAACTGATTGACATTTGTGTTAATGAGCAGTTGGACAGGTGTACCTAATAGTATATATAATAATGGAAACCATTCTTTTTTGTTTGCTTTGAAAAAGCAATCAAAAGAGCAACTTCATGTTCAAAAAAGTGCAGCCCATGACTCATAAAATTTGTAAGCAACTTTAGAAAAAATAAGCCCAAAACTGCTTTTAATAATCGGACTGTTCGACAGAAACTCAAAATAGTTCCTGTTTTTCCAGCAACAAAATGTGCATCTCTCCTCCCTCCAGTTTACATTTCTGTCATGGCGATTTGCTGCTGCTGTCATATAGAAACGGTGGTCACTCCCCAAGATGCGTAGAGGAAATAAAATTACATTTAAAAAGAAAATGGTAACGTGCAGTAATGCAAAAATGATTTGGGTAAGTAACTTTAATCCGATTACTGGATTTGAAATTGTAACGCATTAGATTACTCATTACTGAAAAAAGTAGTCCGACATTAGTAACGCATTACAGAGTAACGTTACTGAGATCACTGTTTACAAAGAATACCCTGAATGAAAAAGATCCGTCTGTGATTGACTGGTATGGTTCATTTAGGCCACATTAAATTTACCGAGTTGAAAGTGCCAGACACAGAGCCAAGTTTGCCAGAGCATGTATCGAGCAAGTGTGTGTGAGACGGAAAGACACTTTCCACACATTATTTGTTCTCCAAGGTACGTATGCTGATATTCTTAAATCATACTTGGGGTTTGCATTTAGCTTGTGCAAGCCAAGCAAGCGGTGTGGCTTTTAAACTAGTTGATACCTAACTTGGTGCAGGATTCTCAGAAAAAACGATGAACTGCATATAAATGCGAGTATAGGTAGGATAGGAGTGCAGCGTTTGCAGTTTTCTTTCACATTGCTGATTACTGATCTCCTTCTGATTCCGATTTTGGCCGATACCAATTTTTCCTGTCTGAAATGTTGGTAAATATAGCAAGAAAGTCACCGAGTTGGCAACAGTGGGGTGAATACTGTTAACTCTAAACATGCAGACATGATCTGTGTGGTTGGGTCTATCAATCAAACCAGAAGAGGACAGTGATTGATTTTTAAAACTTTTGCTGAGGTAGGTATCACTGTTACTGGTGTATTAAAACATCTATCTCTCCTTGCGCTCATACTGCCTTACTTTACTTGTCTCCCCCCTCGGATACACTGAGGGAAACCCTGATTCACAGAATATTTCTTAAAAATTAAATTTTAAGGTTGAATATGTTAATTTGTGGGAGACCTAAAGTCTTCGACACAACACACATGCCTGTTTAAGCCCAAACTGATTTATAGATGTTATTTTATTATTTATTTTCTTTTGTTCTTTCTTCAGTTTTTTCGCTCTTAATGTATTCCATAGAAACCAATAGATGTTCCGTGGATCCTGGGTTGTACTCACTTCAGGGTATTTTACTTTTCTTCATTCAGACCAGGTGAATAAATGTAAACAATAAAGAAAATTGTCCCTATCTAATATAGCAATATCTTGTATCACAAGATTTTCCAAATCCAGAGCTTTGCAAGTGTCAGCTTTAAACCCACTGTAATATTCCCACTATGATCATCTCATTCTGTTGTAATATCTGTGGGTAGTTAAAAATGCAACTGCACATCAAAACCTCTTTAAGAAGCTAAGAGTAAAATGTCTATTGGAGATAACTTCCACCAAGTCTGAACCTTATTTCACAACATAACTTAAGACAAACCTTAGTAATTTGTCATAATGACCATGTATTGAAGTTATAATTTTCTACACAGCTGTTTATTTTCAACAAGAACCTATAGAAAAAAAGGTGCAGGTAGCAATGGTCAAGCTCATGTTGGAGTGAAGGAAAACTGATCTATTTTCTTTAAAGAAATTGATGTAACTAGCTGCCTTGACATTAAATTAGAACAAATAAAACACTGATTAAAAATACTTTTTATCATGAATCGCATCATGTTTTGGTCTGAATTATCAGTGAAAATGTTGTTGAGTGCTGTTCCAAACTTTTTTTAATTATTACTTTGAGTTTCTAGGCCTTTCATTGGGTTTTTAGCATTTTGTTCTGTCTGTGACATTTAGCTGCTGTTGCCCGAGGGTATCCACAGAGAAAACAACAAGATATATGAAGAGGTGGAGATCCCATACAATGAACCCATGCCTGTTGGCTTTGAGGAGAGACCAGTCTACATCTCTGAGCTGGATGAGGTAAGTTCATCTGTAATGTAATTTTGTTAAACAGTCTCCTCTGTTTTTCAGAGGGAGAGGTACTTATCCAAAGACACTTACAGCTTCAGAATTGCGAGGAAAATGAAGCAACTAAACAGCTGACCCATGTGTGCATCACTCCAGAACAAAATAAATACTATATATATATATATATATATATATATATATATATATATATATATATATATATATATATATATATATATATATACACACACTTTTAGCACGTTTGCTAATATTTCTGTTTATAATTGTTAAAGTTCACCTAAAGAAGCAACTGTGGGATTACTTTTTAATTGAGCAGTAATTGAAATAATTAGTTTCAAGGCACCAAACAACTGAGATAATAGGCTCTCTGTGCCTCTTTAGGAACATCATTAATTCTTTTGCTATAAGCTAATATAATTGTTAACTAGATGCTTTATAGTACTAAAACTTGAACCCTGACGATCTCAGATTCTGTGATAGTGCTATGAAATCAACAAACACAAATGAACCAAGAAAAATTATGTGCTGATAACTGATGGGGCAAGAAAAAAATCACTGAGATTATGACCTTACTGGCATATTGTTTTCTTTTAGAGGAGGGAAAATAGACCTTCAAAGAACCAATTTGAAGAGAAATCTGGCCAAGGTTTAAAGGAATTGAAGTGATCATTGTATTCAATTTTGCAGCATTGGTTTTAAATCAGATGTTGTTTTTTTTTCAACAAGAACGGCTTGGCTGCTGCTTCAGCCTATATCTTTTGTTCTTCAGGCCATATTATACTGACCCACTTGGTGCAGTTGATCACAAGAGAAAGTTTGAGATTGTCACAGGATCATATACTTGAGTTAAAACACAGTAGTTTTATCGAGTTGTAGTATTAACATTTTGAAGGGTAAAAGTGTTAGATAAAATCTACCTTTTTGAGCTTTACATCATGTTATAATGGCATTCCCTCATCAAAAACTTACATTGATTCTTTAATGCATGCTTCAGAAATTCTTTAATCTCCGTGGCAGCCATTCATCTGTGCAAAACACCTGGGTAGGCAGAGCGTTGTCTTTACAATGCAGCTCTTCCTCAGAACTACAGTTTGTATACAGAGGTGTAAACACAAGTTACTGAGTAAGAGTTGCGTGAAATATTTAGTACTTAGAAAATGCATGTTAAAATCTGAATATTCTTCTGAAAGTATGTAGCTGAACTACTAGCAGCCACAGTACAGGGTATGCCCATTAACAGTACTAAAATTAATACAAAAATGTAGTAAAGAAGAGGTATAGGGGTTAGGGTTAGGGTTACCTAGAAAACACCATTTTAATTTCATAACATAACACAGCAAAAGGCATATTACATATAATTTCAAATAAAACTAAATACAAGACACTAGAGGAGCAAGTAGAAAAAGACTATCAAAGGTTACAGATTGCCTGACTACTGTGAAGTCTATAAACAAAACCGATGCCATAACCTTGCTATCCACTTAATTAGTTACGTGGCCCCCGTGCGGTTGGCGTCCAACTTCTTACAGGGACAAGTGGCGTTCAGCCATGT